AAGTCACTCTTTCATAGGCATTCAAGGGGGAGTGTTATAAATAGAATTCTATTTAAGGTGAATGTCTATATTTTAGAGAGATCTTAGAGTTTGTTACTTGGTGGCTAAGTCACTCTTTCCCTATAAATAAAGGGGTCCCATTCCGTTGTAATTCATCTCAAAGCCATAAGAATTCTCTCTCCCTACTTTTCTTTGCAATACTCATCTTCTTTTATTATTTTATAACACATTTAACTTATATTGACACTTTTCCTTGTGACCTTGTTTTTTTCCCCACTAGTTGTAGACGGTTAGATAGTCGTTGCGTGATAATGTATCTTCACCACCTCATTCAGTTGAATAATGTATAATTTAGAAAGGAAGTATAATTTAGTGCCATATCTTTCATAGTAATTTCTTTATGATGTTGACATGAACTAAAGAAATTATAGAACGTTGAGACAAATTGTTCAAAATCAGACGGCAACAATGTCAGAAAATACATTAGGAAGATGGAGAGCAACAGATGAAACAAAGAAAATAATGTCCTAATACTTGTCTATCCTACATAAAGCACAAGGTTATCAGAGGACTGGCACAAAATATAAATATATTACTAACAAAAAAACTAGGAGAATACATAAACTCTTTCTCCCCTCTTGGAACTCTAAACTAGTCAACTGAAACCAGAATATTAAGGCTGTATGTGGTCCCGGGCCCGGGCCTAAATGGGCTAAACGGGCCGGGCTAAACGGGCCTGGGCTCTGGCGGTCCCGGGCTTCGCGGTCCCGGGCTTCGTGGGCTCAACGGGTAGGACCAGCCCGTGACGGGCCTAAGCCCATATGGTCCTGGGCTAAATGGGCCGGGCTCGTGGACTTAGCGGGCCTAACGGGCTTTTTTTATTTCCGGGCTTTTTTTTTTTAATTTTTTTTATTTAGGGCAATTTCTTGTAAACTATATGTGTATGTATATATATAAATTGCTCTTATGCATGGCTATATAAATATATGTGGTATATATAATATAGAAATCTAATTATTAAAGTGTTTGACGAAAATGTAAAATAACAAATCAATAGTAAAACTAAATTGGCATGCATAATAAATTAATAACAAAGTACAACATGAAGCATAAATACGTCTAATAATTTTAAAATAACACAAATTGTTGAAAAATCTTAAAGACGAATTTGCGGATAAATACCCTCAACACAATACTTTATATGCCTCCTTAAAATGCCTGTGGTACACCCTGAACGAAAATTTAAGACTCTTCCACAGTTCTTGCACTTTAATATTTGGCCTTCTTCATTTTCTTCAAGCACTTCACAGTATTGCGACACAAATAAGCGCACTCTTTCCGAACGAGGCATGATTTAACTTGAAAATTGAGATTGAGCTTAAAGTCTTGAAAAATTGGAGATTGAGAGATTGAGAGAAATTTAGATTGAGAAATGAGTATTGAGTATTGAAATGAAGAAGAGGGAGGGGGGTACTTATAGTGTTAGAGAAGGTTAGTTTTGTAAATTTTAAAAAAAAAACGGCTATTTGTGCAATTAATATGACCGTTGGTGGTCATTGGGGGTGGGGCCCTCATTTTGAAAAATCTTATTTTGTAGTATATATAGTACTACTTCTTCATGTAAATATAATATATATAGTATACTAGTATAGTATACTAGTATAGTGTACTATATATTGTATGTTATGTATATATATTCCCTTATATATTTTCTTGTAGTATATATTGTATGTTATGTATATATATTCCCTTATATATTTTCTTGTACTATATATTGTATGTTATGTATATATATTTCATTATATAATTTGTTGTAGTATATATTGTATGTTATGTATATATATTCCCTTATATATTTTCTTGTAGTATATATTGTATGTTATGTATATATATTCCATTATATAATTTGTTGTAGTATAAATTGTATGTTATGTATATATAT